GTGGGACATGGGCATTGCTCAGCTCAGGGGGAGAAGAACCTCAAAGTGGCTTCAACAGTAGGAACAGCCATGAAGGATTTGCTGAAATAATTCTGGAGCATGGTGAAGCTTCCTTACCACAGGGGATTTGTGTGATTAGATAAGGTCTGTGCCACATCAGCACAAGTTCAAGTTGGGCCACTCCAATGGGAGGCAGCCCAGGCACTGGCTCCAAGCCTTGGGCATGGTCCTGTCTGGGGAGGAGCAGCACAGGATGCTGTGAGTGCTGTGAATCCCTGCCCATGTCCAGGGGGTTGGAACAAGGGGATCTTTGAGCTCCCTTCTGACCCAAACCACTCCATGACTCCATGTTCCCTGCATTAGGTTTTGCACTGGTTTCTTTCTATTGGAGTGGATGGGAAACCAATACCAGTCTTAAAAGCAGCTCTGATTTTCAGCAGTGTGTGGACTTCTTACAGCAGTCACGCCCTGTTGGGGAAGGTGAAACAGGAAAGCCTTATAAATATGATTACCTGGCAAAAGGTTTTGAGAATATGGAAACTATAAGTGAGATTGAAATGAAAGCAAGCTTTGAGATCCCTCAGTTACTGAACAACTGGAAAACAATGGCATGGCCAGCTGAAGGTGATCCCCTTTGGATCAAACAATCCCCTCTGCTTGCAGACAGGCCCAAGGCTCAGAGCAGACCCTGCCAGCTTGGCAGAAGGGGCGCAAAGAGGAGTTTTTAGGGTTTAAAATGTAACCCAGTGTGGGAATGTAATGATTCTTATAGGCTGTATGGAAATGCTGTAGGATTTGTATCTTGTACTGGATTGGTTAGTGAGAATGAGAATATTCAGCACAGAAGAAGATTTATGGTATTGTAATGGGAACTTCGCTCTCTTACCCTTTTACTCTCTTACCCCTTTTGCTCTCTCACCCTCTCACCCTCTCTCCCCTCTCTTCTCTCAGGCCTGCTCTGAGCTGTGTCTGGCAGCTCCCAGCAGGGCCCTGCACCCAGGCCCTTTGCAATAACCCACAAGTTCCCAGCCCTGGCTGCAGAGATCTCTGCTCTCTGTCCATCCCCACCATCCTACCCCATCTATCCTACAGAGCCCCATCTTTCCAAGGAGGATTTGCAGGGCTGGAGTGCTCACCCCCCTCACTACAGAAATGGCAGCCACAGAGCTGTAACTCCCAGCTCATCAGTAAACATGTCTGTGCTGAGAAAATTCATCCTCTTAAGGGGCTTCCTTTAGCAGACTCAAGTCAGATTATCTTATTTGTCTTTTATTTGAAGCCCTTTCATCTCTCCATTTCTCTCAGCCTGGTATCCTGTTCCTGGAGTGTGCCAAATATGTTGTCTTTATTGCAGCCTCTTCAGTCTTTGTGGAGAGCAAGGTCTGCTCACAGTGATATGTGTCAGGATGTTTTTGGTTTGATCCAAGGCCCATGCTGGTTTTGTTGGGTTTATTTTAGTTTTGTGTTTTGGTTTTGGTTTGGTTTTTTTTGGGTGGGTGGGTTGGTTTTTTGGGTTTATTTTTGCATAGGGAAGGAAATCCTTATTGAAATCCTGCAAGGTTTTATTTAATTTCTTCCACAGTCATGAGCAGTGGTGACTGTTGTAGCTTTGCTCACAGTAGTGGTTCCTCTCCCTGGATTTTGTACTCACCCTGAGGGTGATCTCTTGAGCCTGACTCAGCAGTGTCTGGTGGTCCAGCTGCCATTTCCTGGGGGGCTGACCTATCTCCTCTCCCCACCAACCTGAAGGTGTTTAAAAGGAAGTCATAAAATCAATATTTTCATTGTAGAAACATGGTCTATCCAAGTTTTTCACGTGTTTTTGTCTTTTAAACTATGTAATCCCCTGAGACTTGGCTCAGGGGGCTGAGGAAGTGTTTTCCTTGTGATCACATCTTTGAGACACCTCAGTGTGTTAACACAAGAATGTGTTTGTGAGGAGCCTGTCATGAAGTCTGGAGTTCATCAGTCCACTTCTTACATGATAGAAGGATAAAATTAATTCCAGAGAATGAGAGATGTTGGAAATAAAAGCAAATCTTTCTGGTAGAAAGAGGAGTAATGGTTTACAGCCATCAGGTATTTCAGATCACACAAGGGGATCAGTACTGCAGATGGAAGTACCAGCATTCATTGTACAGTGTTACTTAGAAATAGTCCCTGGTGTGAAAGTAAGGGCTTTCCTGACCTGATGAGGGGAGATGCTTCCAGAGGTGCTGTATGTTCATCAGCCTTTGTTTGGAGCTGCCAAAAATGTGACTTTGCACAGACTAGGAGAAATAAAACTCCAGTCTTGCTCAGGAGGATGGGAACAGGGAGGTGGAAGGAACTCAATTCATTGTTTAAGATAAATTCTGACTCACCTTTTCAGACTTGGAAGCTGATCACTCCTGAGGGTTTACTCCAGGTCCCACATAACCATTCATTTGGCATTTTGGTTTAGGATCCTTGCCTGCATGTCTGGCTCTAAGAAGGCTGGAGCTCAGTCCTGGGAGCTGGTGTTTGGATTCTGCCCAGGAAAGGGGTCAGCAAATTGGCTCATCAAAGTGTGCCTTGAGAGCAAAAACTGGGGCTTAGACCAGCAAAAGTTCTGGTGTCCACAGGTCAGGCAGAAATCAGAGGAGCCAAGTCTGGTGTGAAAACTAAAAGAGGAGTCAGATCATGCACTGACATTCTTCTGATTTCATCAAGTAGGCTGAAAGTGCTTTTCTTTCTGCGCCACAGAAATTAAAAATGGCAAAAAAGGTGTTAAATGAGCAAGCAGGCTGAGTTTGGGAAAGGTGCTTCCCCTAGAGGGTTGTGGGGCACTGAACAGGCTTCCAGGGAATGGTCATAGTTCCAAGGCTGCCAAAGCTCAATCTGGAAAATGCTCTCAGAGATGGAGTGGGATTGTTGGAGTGTCCTGTGTGGGATCAGGAGTTGGAATTGATGATCCTTATGGATCCCTCCCAACTCAGGATATTCTGTAATTCACATTATCTGCTCAGCATGTGCCTGATTTTCTGCACTGGATGTGCCTGTATCACACAGGGGCTTCCAGAATGGAGCTGAAACATTCCAGCAGAGGGCTGGAATGGCAGCACTGCCATCACCTGTGACAGGCAGGAGCTTACAGGGCTGCCCTCACATTTCCTGAGGGAATTCCTGAGGGAATTTGTAAGCACAGCTCTTTACTGCTGCAAACATTGATGGGGTTTGATGGAAGCATCACTGTGAAGAAAACCTCAGCTGAAGCAGAGGTTACATGGAAGGGATTTTTAGTGGCTGCAGTGGTCGTGGTGCTCCAGCCCTGTGCTTTTGTGGGGAACAAATCAATGACTGCAGGCACTTTGCATCATGAGAAACTGTCAGGATTCTCTTGTGGCAGCCCCATGGGATTTCCAAGGAGCGTCATTCTCACAGTCCTCTGTCAATATGCAGAGTTTCCTTTTTTCCTCTGAATCCTAATCTGTGGGTATGTATCTGACCTAATAAAACCATTTTCCAGCCTCACTGCTGGTGGTTTTCTTCCTCTTGTCTCTGAAAGCCTCTGGCCTGCTGGCAGTGCCATTGTCCAGCGAGGTTTGAAGCTTGGCACGCTGTCAGCAAACCTTCAGGTTCCCTTTCAATCAAACATGGGAGTGCTGAGATCCCACTTGGACTCCATCCCAAGGTTCACCATAATCATCCTTGTATAATAGGAAGTCCAAACAACCCCAGGAAATAATTCAGATGTGACTGGTGCCTTGAGTGGAACAAAGAAGTGCCTGGAAGAGACATTAAGAGCCTCAGCTCTAACTCCTTTGATAATTATGCACTCTGAAGGAGCAGAGGCTTTGGAGATAAAGGGATTACATGCATCTCATGAGGTCTGGAACGATGGGACAGCATCTTCCATCCACATTTTCTCATTTTTGTTTTACTGATATTGCAGTTGCCACATTTTGTGGAAGAATATTGCAGAGTAGGCTCCCCTGTAACCCTGCAGTTGCCTCCTAATCTGGCACAGGTAAATTGAATCTGACTGCCCTTAGGGATGAGCTTTTGGAAGAGCCTGTTGGCAAGAGCAGTGGGGGGAGAACTTAATTAGATTAAGATGCATTTCCACAGTGTTGCTGCAGGCTGTGCAGTGCTGGAGGAGCTGGGGATGCCCTGGGATGCTCTTCCAGCCCTGCCTGCCTGCCTGAGAAAAAGGAAAGTGCATCAGAGGTGTGAATCTCAGTGTAACTCACCAGGCTGTGAACAAACCATGTCCTGAGCTGTGTCCTGCCCCTGGCTGTGAGTGGGATCAGCAGCCTGGCAGCAGGGCAAGGGCTCAGCTTTCCCTTGGCCCAGCACAGCAGCTGAGGCAGTGATGTGGTGGGCAGGGTTTGGCTGGGCACCAGCCTTCATTCAGCTCTTGGGGCCTGGGTACTGATGGCCCAGGGGTCTCATGCTTTGATACTCCTACAAATTCTGCTTTGCTTTTCAATGTCTGTCATTTCTAAGGTTACTCATTTACTTCTCTTGATAACTTCCTCCACAAGGAAGTTGCATGTCTATTAATTTCCAATGAACTGTTCCTTCTCTCTGGTATATACTTGGGAGTTTTTTTACTTTTGTAGGTTTGCTCTGCTGCACTGGGAAGGGATAATTTGGAGTCCCCAGTTCTCTCTCTTCATGCTACTCATTATTTTATATGCCTCTCCTGTGGTCTCTCTCCTTTTCATTACTAATCAGGTCTAGTCTTTTCAATCCTCCTTTGTGTGATAGTTTCATTTTACAAAAGCTGAACTAGTTTCTATCAGCTCAGTTGATGTGATCTTACTCATATCAAAGGTGTTTAACAGCCGCAGTCCCGTGTACTCACTGCAAGCTCAACTTAAATTGTGTCAAGTTCTGTGCTGCTTTGTGAGTGCAAGTGGGAATGTTTGTTACAGCTGTCTTTAAATTTAAATTTGGATGTTTTAAATGAATTAAATATGAACATGAATTATGCAGCTGGTAACTTAGCCTTTCTGCAATTAAATGCAAACTTTTTCATTTTGTCTCTGTGCTTTCAGGTTTTGCTATGCCGCAGTGTTTGTACTGACTCTGCTGTCTTGTAGGAGTGATGGGGAACTAGAGCCCATGACAGTTCAGTGGAGCCCTTGGCACTTTTGATATCTTGGTGAGTGAAAGTTGTTTGAAACTCTGGGAGAGGAACTTCATCTGCTACTGAAGGCAGCAAATTAGTTGCTCTTTTTACGTTTTTAAGGTAGCATCCTGCTGAAGTGAATTTGCACGTTGATCTGTCCTTTCAGGTTATAAATTGTGGAAACCAGCACTCTGTAATGCTGTAGTTCATGCTTGGGAGATTATCTCGATCTCCACAAGCAGGAGAAACAGAGCTTTTGAAAGCAAGGGGAGTTTGAACTCTGGTGTGCAGCTCTGTGCAAGTGTCAGGCTCTGGAGATGGAGCATTGCAGCGTGTGCTGGGCTGTGGAAATCTCAAAGGCTTTATTTGATGCAACAGTAAATTGTGTCCTTTGTGCCATGGATCCAGCCATGAGGTCCTCATCAGGGGCATATTTGTGCCTGAGGTGATTCTGGAAGATCTGTCTCTGTGGGTAGCCTGGTTTTCCTCCTTGTCTGTACCTTCTGCTATTTATTACCTTCACGTTTTTTCAGTCTTCAGTCCCTGAATGGAGTAAAGGTCACATCCATTGGTACCATGGTTCTCCTGTCCACAGGTGCCTGTGGGCTTGTCTGTTCTGCCTTTGACTTTCTTCTCTCTACACTGGATTCTCCTCACTGGGGCATTTCAGCCTTGTCAAAACCTGTAGAGTGATTCCTCTTGCCATGCAGTGAGATAAAGTCCCTGGGTGTTTCAGGCTGGAAGGAGCTTTCAGAAGTTGTCTGGTCCAGTGCTGCATGCAGAGATGGGCTGACTTTGAAGTCAGAGTCAGCTACAAGGTGAGATCAGGCTGGCAGGGGAGGGAGCTGCTGATGTTTGGAGTATCTCCAAGGGTGCAGCTTTTACAGCTCCTCTGGGCAGCTATAAATTAGAGTCAGTGGAAATGATCAATTCCCAAGCCCTGTGTTAGTAAAGCCCAGGGGCAGCTCCTGTCTGTGCTCCCTGTGACCAGGGACAGGACCCAAGGGAGTGGCTGGAGCTGTGTCAGGGCAGGGTCAGGCTGGATGTAAGGAAAAGGTTCTTTCCCCAGGAAATGGTTGTGACCCTCACCTGCCAGAGCTCCAGGAGCATTTGGACAACACTGTCAGACACCCCAGGGTGGGACTGCTGGGGCTTCTGTGACAGGCCAGGAGCTGGATTTGGTGATCCTTGTGGATCCCTCCCAGCTGTGATTGTACAGTGTCTGTCTCCATGGCTGAAGGAGAGCATCCCTGCATCCTAGTGCAGGAACTAGCCCTGTCCCTGGGATGCACTAAGGCTGGTGGCTCCTGGCTGTGTAGGTCCAGCTGCCCCTGGAGTTTACATCATGGAGTTTGGCTCTGACTCTTCTCCAGGCATAACATGACTCTGAGCACTCCAATTATTTTGCTTTTTTCCCCTTGAGTTATGATTTTGCAGGATTGACCCACATGTTGCTGTCCTGTGCTGTGAGATGTAAGGAGGGATTTGGGTGGTGCAGAGCTGTGTCAGAGGCTCATGGAGGATGGCAGGAGTCAGGCTGGGGCTGTCACATTTGAGCAGTTTCTTGGAAGCATATTTTAGAGTGCAGTGTCCTTGAGCTGGCACTCATGTGGCTCTCAGCAAAGTGGAACTCCCCGTGCAGCTTAAGTCTCCTCCTTTGGGGAAGAGTCACCATTTGTTTATTTATTTATTTAAATTGGACATTTACAACATCTAATTCTCTTCCATGACACGAGATCTTGCTGAGAGCCTGCTGCAATATTGGCTGAGGGATACCAGCAGTCAGCTCCGTGCTTTATCAGGATCGCAGAATTACAGAATCATTAAGATTGGAAAATACCTCAAGACTGAGCACCACCATGTCCACTACACCAGAGCTCTAGTGCCACATCCAGACTCTTCTTCAGCAACCACCACCTCCCTGGGCAGCCCATTCCCATGCTTTACACCCCTTTCTGTGAAGAAATTCTTGCTGATGTCCAACCTGAACCTCTCCTGGTACATCTTGAGGCTGTTTCCTCTTGAACTGTCCCTTGCTCCCTTGAAGAAAAGACTGACCTCCACCTGTCAGGGAGTTGTGGAGGGTGACAAGGTCCTCCTGAGCCTCATTAGGGTTATTGGGGCATAACCTTTCACAAACCCTATCTGAGCAGCTCAAACATAGTCACAATGTTTTTTCTTCCAATACTTCTGAAAGGAACAGGTCACACATGCCTGCCAGCAGGGTTCTGAGGTGTTCAGGCTAAAGCAGCTTTTCAGAAGCCCTCAGAGGGGCACAGGAACTCCTGTGCCATGAGATTTATGTGTGTGGGTACTTGAGAAAGTCCCACAGACAGCAGAGGGGAAGAGCCAGAGATGCAGAATGCTTGTCTGGTGCCTTTATAAATAAACACCTTTCAGCCTAGTTTTTATGTCTAGGGCACTTTTCCTGCCAGGACTGCTAGCCTTTAATAAAAATGACTGAAGAAAATTATGAAAAGAAGCCTTAAAAGTTGTAAATAAACTTTCACATGTAGGTTACCTTCTGCTATTGAAAGGGAAACCAACCTTACTCCTTTCACAAGTGTGTACAGACACACACACTATTTAGGAGAGAGGCAATAAGTGACTACTGTGCACCTTTTGATTTGGATTAAAAAACACCCAGTATTTAATATTCTTTCGGTATTTTTCTTCTCAGAGTATTGCTCAGTGTTGCATGTAAAAAGGCTGTAGTTTGAAGAGCTGTGACAGAAAATTAAACTCTATTTCTCTTACATGTAGAAAAAGCCTGGTTTTCAAAACCCCAAACTCTTGCCAAGTTGGATCTGTAAATAACCTTTAAGCAGCCACTCAGTGCTGCGTCCTGAGACAGCTTCCTCCTTCTCCTGACTGCCCCACTGTGAACAAAATGGAATTATATTGATACAATTAATCTTTCATTAGTTAGTGGAGTGTCAAAACATGCTATTCGTGGCTTTCCCAAGGGCTGGTTTGTGGCTCAGCCATTCATTTGGGTGTTTTGTGGCAGGGCTTGGCAGGGCTGTGTGGGTGTGGCTGCCCTGCCCTGTGAGAGTGCTTGTGCTGTAGCACTGGATCTCCCAGGAGCTCTGATTTTTCAGGAATATTTCTTTATAACAAGAATGCAAATGCTTTTTCTTTTTGGGCACAGTCCAGCCAGTTTTATTCCAACCAGGAAAACAGAAAATGCAGCGCAACTTGGACACTCGTGGCAGTACTAACAGCAAAAGTATTTCCTGGGTCATTGTCCAATTTCTCATCCTTATTCCCCAGAACTGCTGTGAGCAATTTGAATTGTAAGTGGCAAGCTGGGGATTGCTGTGCTGCTTTGCCAGAGTTAATGTTATGTTTCCATGTGTTTTCTTTCATAAATTCCAGCTCTGCCTCCCTTTGTTAGTGAGTGGGAGCAGCCCCTCCTTCCACACACACGCTCTGGACCAGCAGTAGGGTTAGCACAGAGACAGCCATGTGCTCCTTGTGCTTATTCATGCTGCTCCTGCTGCCATGAATTCGGTGTTGTCCACAAATTGGAGAAAGTTTGAGGGGGTGAAATGAGTTTTGTATGTTCTGTGCTACCCCAGGTGACAGAGTGTGTTTTTCCCCCCACTGTGTGATGAGTTAATGCTGCAGATAACTGTGTGCTCCAGAATGGGCAATTTTCTCATCTTTATTTCTTTTGTCCTAGACATCTTCAGTCCTGTAAGAGCAGCCCAGTCCCAGGATAAGGACAGCAGCAGGTGGTAGAATGCGGAAACCAGGCCCTCAGAAAGGTGAGCAGTGATTTGGCACAGCCAAGGGCCCTGCAGTGAGCTGGCATGGCCTGGGTGCCTCAGTGGGGTGGGAGCTGAGGGGATGTGGCTGAAGCCCAAAACTGAGTTATGTTTCTCAGTCCATGTGCAGAGAGCAGTTCATCAATCCCCTCTGTGACAGGAAGAGGAGAGTCCTTTTTTGAGGCATCCCTGCAGCTCATGGAGGGTGCCCTGCAGAACCTAGGGCACCATCTGGCAGAGCTCCCAGCATGAGGCAAACTGCCTGAGCTGGCACAGCCTGCCCCTCTAATGAGGCATGAAACCAGAAACCAGCCTGCCTTGTGGAGAGGAAATCTGTCAGGAGGTTCCCCTGCCACCCAGTCCCTTGGCCCCTCACTCAGCACGTGCTTCCTGGGTCCTGCATCCCCAACAAAAAGGGTGAAGCCCAGCAGGCTGAGCTGCCCTGGCTTCTTGTGCTGAACAGAAATATTGATTTCCTTTAGTGCCGTGCCATGCATGTGCGTCTGACTGGAGTGATCTCATCAGGGAGGAGGGGGGAAGGGAGAAGGGAGAGGATGGAGCATCCTCCACAGCTCTTTGTTCACATCTGCTCCACACTCCCAAGGTTTATTGCAGGAGATTTCTATGCTCGATTTCTCTGCTCCCTTTATTTTTTTTTTTAAATGTCTCCTTTGCTTCTGTCGTGGTTCATCTTACAGCGGCATTATCCTCTTCCTAACACTGCTTGTCCTTTAATGAAGTGAAAATAAATGAAGGAAAGCAGGGAATGGGGAGACCCTGCTGTGAGGCAGCTGGAGGGCTTGGCAATAAAGGAGCCTGGTTGATTAGTCAGCAGCATGGCCCAGGCCAGGCTGGCTGGGTTCAGCCTCACTCACAGCTTGTTCTCTGTGCTCCTGGAGCCTCCAGCCAGCCTGCCTCTGTGACCTGGGCTCACAATGCCAGCCTGTGGGCTGCAGAGGCAGCACCTGCACTGTGCACATGTGGGTTTCTGTCCTACTTACCTGCTTTTTTAATAATGCATTGAACTTGCTCTGTTTCTTTATTTGTCTGCAGAAATTCTTGTTTCGCTCTCTTTTCTGCTGCTTTTGTATCGTGCTTAATGAGGATTTTTGCATGTTAAAGGTTAAGAACAAAATGTACCTTCACCTGCAGAGTGTGGTGAGAAGCTCCTTTGAGTGCATGGATGCTGTTAGAGCTGTCCTGCAGCACTGAGGGGAGCCTTACCCACCCAGGGGGCTCTTTAGCTTCTGCCTTAAATACTTTATGTCCTTTATTCTTGCTTTCTTAGGGACATGGCACAATGCTGTGCCTCGTGGTAATGCATTTATTAGGAAGGGTGTCCTTCAATCCTTTTCATTCATTTATGTCTCTCCAAGGAGGCTCTTTGTCTGGCCCATGTCTAGGGAATCTGTGGCCACACTCCATATGTCCCTCGTGTTCATTTAAGGGATGCTGATCTGGCATCCCTCTGCTGGGCTGGAGGCTGTTGGAGGCAGGGTGGGCATCCCCCACTTCTTGCTCTATCACTTTCCAGAGCAATAAAACCTACATGCTGTCCTGTCCATTGTGCTGAAAAGAACATGTCAAGAAGAGAAGATTGTAAAAATAATTGTCCCAAAGCAATTCCAGACACGTCAAGACACCCCAGGCCACTTTAGAAGCAGCTCTTAGCCTGCCTCTTCCGGCTGCTGCTCAGATTTCAAACCTTTTCCTTTCACAAGGAACTGTTTTTCATGGGGGCAGAGCACATTTCACAGGGCACTACCAAGCTGCTGTCTACAATAGCCCTAAAAATGGTCTGTAAAATAAAGGAGCTGCACTCCAGGGTGCCAGCCTGGCAGCAGCAGGTTGAGGAGCTGTTCAGGGTGAACTCTGCCATGGGACAGGACGAGCATTTCCCACTTTTTGCTCTGTCGCTTTCCAGAACTGTCTTGAGATCCTCAAATTTTTAGAGCTCTGAGACCCAAAGTTGTCATGTGCAAAAACAGTTCATGTGAGCTGCTCTGCAGAGCTGGTGCTGCTTTGCTGTGGTCTCCTCTGAGCAGCAAGGAACACAAGGAAACTGCTGTTGTGTGTGGAGAGAGCACTTGTGCAGATTTTCAAAGTCACCACAAAGGGCTGAGGTTGCTTGTGTGGAATAACCTGGAGTTGATACACCAGGAGCCATTCTGCACCAAAGCAAAGATCCTCATGAGCCATTTTTAGTGGCTGTTATGTTTGTTCCTCTCAGGCCCTTCTTCTCACAGCTAAAATGATGGAGCTTGCTGTTCTTTATTGCTTGTTACTGAAGGAGAACATTGGCTGGTGGGAACTAAACAGGGATTGAGGTGCAGATGTGGATCCCTCCTGTGTGGTACCTGTGGAGAGGAAGGGAGCACACCCAGACATGGAAGCAAATTATCCACATTGCTGGGGTCAGGACAGGGAGGTCACTGCTCCCCACAGACAGTACAGGAGGGTGCATTGCCTGGCTCCTTGCCCTGACACAAATGCTCTGTTTCTTGTCTCAGCCATAGACTGGAAAGATGGTAAAAAGCACAAGTACAGCCGCCCGTCAGAGTCTCCCTCCCAGTACCAAGGTAAGAGAGCTCCCTTCTTCCTCCCTGCTTCTTTTAGCCCTCCCTTCTCCCTTTTGTGGTTCCTGAAGGTTTTTTTTTTAACAAGTGCATGGTACAGCAGTGAATATTGGTGATCACCTGTAAGAAACTCTGAGCAGCTCATCACTGCCCAAAGTGTGGGCACATCCTTGTAGGGTTTGGGTCTGGAGAAGAGAAAGGTCTGAGGAGACCATGGAGCCCCTTCCAGTGCCTCAGGGGGCTCCAGGGGAGCTGAAGAGGGACTTTGGACAAGGGTCTGAAATGACAGGACAATGGGAATGGCATCTTACTGTCAGAGAGCAGGGTTAGATGGGATATTGAGAATAAACTTTTGTTAAATTCTTCTATTTGTTATTGAGAATAAATTCTTGTTAGGGTTAGATGGGATATTGAGAAAAATTTCTTTTTAGATCTTGTCAGGGTTAGATGGAATATTAAGAATAAATTCTTGTTAC